AACCCTGTCCAAATGACCAACGTCACAGCAGCTCTGCAACTGCTGTTAACTCTAAAAAAAATAAGCCAAGAGACCTCACACAGGTTATTAAAACCACAGTTAACTCTAAAAATAAAACAAAAACAAAATAAAACCAAAGAGCTAACAGTGGTTATTAGCAAAAAGCTTTCTTTATTCCATTGGAGGAGCAAAACTAGATGCATGTGCCGCCCCCTCCCTCCCAGCAGGAGACCGTTTTTGTGTGGAAAAATCTCAATACTTAAACCAATGGCTACACAGTAAGCTGTAGCTCTGACAATGGAGAGATAACAGCAACAACAAGACAAGTCTGATTCAGAGTAGGACTTTATCACCAGAACATGGGTACTACAGGTGCTTGTCCAAGCTCAGAGACTACCTGGTGCTGGTGTAAAACAATTCTGGGATTTTGCTATGGCTGAGTTCATCCAGGGGGTAAGCACAAAGAATTGTTGTTATGCCAAGTTCAGGGCACTTAACTCTGGAAAACAGGTAGCCTCCTAATAGTAAAAAGAAAGAGATAGTCTTGGCATAGAGATCCTGACAACATTAAAATATTTATAGCAATACTTTTTTTGGTAGCAAAAAGAGTTGGAAACAAAGTAGATGCCCATCAATTGGGGAATGGCTAAACAAAGTTTGGTACATGGATGTAATGGAATATTACTATGCTAAAAGAAATGATGAATGTGATAAATACAGAAAAGCATGGAAAGATCTACATGAACTGACACAATGAATTAAGCACAGCATGATATACCAGAAGCAGAACACAACATACATAGTAACTACAACAATGTCAGCAGAAAGAGCAACCCCACACACCAAAAAACTAAAAGTGTATGTAATAAAATTATAAAGATCAAACATGACATAAAAGAAAAGCTATTCCAAGACACTCCCAAACCATCTGGAGAATGTCCCCTGTTATTACACATTCCACATGTTTTGGGACTTTTTCAACATATTGATCAGATGTGCTGATTTTTCCTCTTCTATTTTATTTTTCTTTTTTGTTATTAAAATATACTATTTATTACATGGTATGGCTCTCCAAAAGGGGGAGGGGAAAGGATACTGGGAATAACTATGTAGATATGAAAAACAAAAGGCATCAATAAAAATTATTTTAAAAAAATAAAGATCTGGAGACTTGTAGATGTCCCCCATGCCTAGAATGAATTTCCTCCTCACTTCTGCCTCACAGAAACCCTCTTTTCCTTTGAGATGCAAATACCTTCCCTCAAGCACTATCTGAACATGAAGCCTTTTCTGATCTCTCCCAGCTGCTAATATTCTTCTTCCCTACATGATTTGTATTTATTATCTTTATATTTATTCTGTAATACCCTACCTTGGCCCCCACTGGCTAAAGGCCACATTTGTAACATTTCACTCTAAAGTTCTCTGGTGCCCTTAAGTGGATTTGGTGTCTAGGTTCTCTGCAAATGACACCAGTCACCACTCATGGTGTTCCCCCAAGTGTAAGGGGAGATCCCTTATGCTCCAGTTTCATTCAGCCACTGTCATATTAGCTTTTACACAGAAACATTTACTTCAAAATGTATAAACACAAAAATACAAACTTAATCCCCCCAACATGTAAGAGGCATAATCCCCTCCCCTTTTACACCTCAATCTCTGGGGAGGAGAGAAGATTGGATCCATAGTTTAGCTCAGTCCCTATAGAGCATAGTCCCAGTTCCAAGCCTAAAATCCCCACAGGCTCCAGTCCAGGGGAAATTTGGAAGGGGGAATGATTTAAAGGAAAAGATAATGAGTGCAGTATTGGACATGTTGAGCTTAAGATGTCTACTGCATTGTATTCAAGATGTCTGAAAGGCAGTTGGAGATTTGAGGTCTGCAAAGAAGTTAGGGATGGATAGGTAAATTTGAGAATCTTGAGCACAGACGTGATAATTAAATCTGTGGGAGCTGCTGAGATCACTAAGTGGAGTAGTATGGACAGAGAAGAGAAGAGAGTTCAGTATCCAGCTGTTAGTGGGTTAGTTACCTTGAACCTGGAAGAGGAACCAGCAAAGGAGATTAAAGAGTGGTCAGATAGGTGTACTTATAGTTATACTTGTTTGCTTCATTAGAATGAAAGCTCCTTTTGGTTAGGGATTACTTCTTTCTTTTTATTTGCATCCTTAATGCCCTGCACAGTGCCTAACACCTAGCAGATGCTTAATAAATGCTTGATTAGTTGATTGACTTGAAAGATCAAAATGAGTCACAGTGTGGTATAGTAGCCACACAATCTAATGTAGTCTTGGGCTACACTGAGACACAACTTCTAAGAATAAGGGATCGATAGTCCCATTGTGACAACTAGGTGGAGCAGATCTACATGGAGTAGATAAATCACTGGGCTCAGAATTAGGAAGATTCATCTTTCTGAGTTCAAATCTGGCTATGGAACCTTGGGCAAGTCACTTAACCCTGTTTGTCTCAGTTTCCTCATCTGGAAAATAAGCTGGAGAAGGAAATGGCAAAACCACTCTAGTATCTTTGCCAAGAAATCCCCAAAAGAGGTCACAAAGAGTCAGACATGACAAAAATAACTCAACAACTAAGTCCCATTGTAACCTGCCCTAAGGAGACTACCTCTAGAGGATTATATTCACTTCTGGGTGCAATTCAGGAAGAACACTGATAAACTGGAGAACATCCAAAGGAGAGCAACCAGAAAGGTTTCAAGTCAGGCCTTAAAAGGAATGAAAAAAAATGGAGGTTGTTACATGACATCTGTCTTCAAGGACTTGAACAACTGTCATATGAAAGTTTTATCTCTCTCAAAGAACTCTCATGTCATGTTCTATATGACCTTAAAGGGCAAAACTAGGAGCAATGTGTGGATACTGCAAAGAAGCAAATTTATGTTGAACCTAAGAAAACAAAAACAAAAACAAAACTTCTTAACAATAAAAGCTGTCCAAAAGTGGAATGGGATACCTAGGGAGGTAGCTGGTCTCTGCCCCACCCCTATAATGCAAGCTTTTAAGAAAGGGCTGGATGATATATAATATGATACATATTATATGTACATATACAATATGATACATATTATATTATGTATCATATATATGTGTGATACATAAACTTTTTCAGGTATTGATTGGATGAGATGGTCTTTCTGCTCCCTTTCTAATCACATTTTTCTATTCTACAAGAAATATTACCCATAAGCACATGTATACACACATACATGTACATATTTTATATAATACAAATATATGTATACCTATGTATATATACATACATGTATTATATAATCTTTCAAAAATCCCTTACTGCTTGTATTCCACTTCAGAATCCTAACAGTTTATTAAATAGATGTTGTCAAAGCAGCAGCATTCAGTCAGGCAGTTGACTTCATCGGCAATCTTTTGCATTGAATCACAAAGGGCTAAAATCACAATCCTCATCTCTAACCCCTCTACACATATCCCCAAAGAAGAGTGCTCTCTTAGTCCTTGGAATTTCCCCTAGCACTTTAATTAAGAATATGGTAAGATTATAAAACTGGAAATGGAGACTCCCAAGAGATAAAGTTATTTGTCCAAAGTCATAAAGACATTTAAGTAGCAGAGGTAGAATTCTGGAATCAAGATGTTCAAGACCTTGCTCTTTCTGATGTATCTAGATCTTGTTGTGTATACTATGTATTTATTTGTATTTGTCTCAAATTCCTTACTAGATTGTAAGCTCCAATTGGGCAAGGACTGTCTCATTTTCTTCATTTTTACCTCAATGCCTAGCACAGTGACTTGCCTAATAGCAGGCATTTTACTAAAGGTCTGAATGAAATGTATGTAGAAAAAAATGAGATAATTTGTTAAACTAAATGTTCTGAGCAAAATAACCATTAAATTTATAGTTTTCATACCAAGACTCGTTGTGCTTACTATAACTCAAACAACATGTATTAGGTGTTTTGAATACTCAAAACATTATATGAGTATTTTACTAAATTCCCACTTTTTTGTCATAATTTACTATCATGTAGAAGAGTTTGTTTCATAACTGCTAGAAGCATTTCAATCTTCCTCTCTGAAGTCCTCTCCAATTATACTATCAGATTATTTACAAATCCCTTTCTGAACTGACTTTTATGTAAATATTGTAACTTTTCAAGGTATGTAATTTACTGGTGGGGGGGAGGAAGGCTATATTTGTCTCTATCTCTTTCAAAAAACATGATTTTCACAGAGATTTTTTAAAAAGTGTGTCCCTTTTACTTTAAATATGATTACTTTTTTTTTTGAGCTAGAGAATCTCTGGAAAAAGTTGTGTCCACCTCACTTTCTAGTCTTCAGGGGCTCCCCCAAAATGTTTGATGATTGTTTATTGATGGAGGGGCCCTTGAGATGTCCCCTAAAAAAGTTGTATCTACTTGACCGTGCCGTCTATATTAATCACGCAGTGAAGACTTCAAATTAAGATATTGCGGGGGATTCATTGTTTCAGTCCCATTAAGCACAGCACATTTACAAACTGACAGGTGTCTGCTAAGCTGTCAATCATCTGCAGCCCGTTTTACCCTCACCCCCACCCCCCCACCCCCGCGCCAGCGGCAAATGTAGGTTTGGGGACCGGGGTGGGAATAGTCTGCAGATGACGACGACGAAGGCGCCGGAGGATCACGGAGTTTGTAGGCATTTGGGTTGGTTTTTGTTTTTTTTTTTAATTGAGAATTCCCACCCAAGTCCTAAATAAACCTAAAAGACTCAAAGTGTCACACCCCTCGGTCAGAAAGGCCAGCTGTGACATAACAGGGAGCAGACAGAAGACGCTGGAAGACCGCAGGGCGGAACGGGGGAAGCGGCTGGGGAAGACGCTTTAAGAGCAGTGGGGCCGCTTTGGCCCTGCCCCCTCGAACACGACACATTCCATGCGCCCGGACGCAAAGGATTCTCGTCCCCCTGCTTCTAGGGAGCCGTTTCCGTTGGCCGCGCCTGCGCGCCTGAGGCGGGGAGCGAGAGCTGTTGGCGGAGGCGGAGGGAAGCGACGCACGCTCACTGCGACGCCATTTGCTGGTTCCAGAGCGTGGGACGAGAGAGGTCGCGCGAGAGAGACTCACGCACACATTGGGCAGTTAGGGCTTTCCTGCACACGCGACATCTCCCCTGTCCGGTCCCCCGCCTTCTCGCCTCTCCACGCTCCAGGCTCTCCCGAGCTTCCAGCTCGCGACCTAGTGCTCGTTCTCCCCTCCCCCTGCCAAGCGGGTGACTTCCACCTCGCCCGGAGAGGCGAACCCGCCCGCGCGTCCTTCGGAAGAGCTACCGCCCGAGAGGGAGACGGAGACCCCGCAGAGGCCGCCGCAGCCATGCCCAAGAATAAAGGTAACGCCTCCCGATCGCGGCCGACCCGCCCTGCGCCTGGTCGTGCCGGGCCGCGGCCTAGGCCGCTCATGGGCGCCGTGTCCACGGAGACCTTCCCTCGCCCCTAATTCGGGGCCTTGCCGCAGACCTGGGGTGTCCCGGGAAGAGGGAGAGAGGAAGTTACGGTCCCACCCCCGAGTTCGGTCGCGGACGGGCAGAGTGCCGACGCCATGTTGGTAGGGCCTACGGGGAGCAGATGGGGGGGTCTCACCAGGCCTCCCCGCCTGGAGGTGAAAACGAGGCGCACGGAGGTGCCCGGCAGACAGGAACCTGGGGGGGACTCCGTCCGGGACACAGCGGCTTTAAAAGGGCAAGGGTCGCCCGACCCCGACCCCGGGTCTAACCGAGCCCGCCCGGAGCCTGCGCAGGGCTGTCGGCGTTTGCGCTCTCCAGCTTTCTAGAATGGTGACCCTCGAAGACCATTCAGATCCTCGACCGGTCGAGAATGCTGTACTCTCCAGGAACGTTTTGTATGAGTTTCTCAACGTGCTTCACGTTGATCACCCAGTCTGGTTTCAGTTTTTTCCTCACCTGCGATTCCCACCACTACCACCACCACCACCACCACCAAAAAAAAAAAAAAAGACTATTCTCTCCCCACACCCCTTTACTTTTCAGTACGGTTGATTTGTGTGTTTGGGGGGTGGAAATACAAGCATTTCTCTTCAAATGAGTAGAGTACTTCAAATGCTATAGACGCATCTTGTGATTTAAAATGTAATTATTAGTTGCTCCCTAGTAATGCGTGTTCTCAGTGCCCCGAAGTGGAATGTCCAGTCAGCCGAGCATTTTTTAAGCTCCTACTAAGTGCCAGGACCTGGGAATAAAAGGAAGGCAAAGATTGCTTTCGAGAGCTCACAGTTTAATGTGAAAAACAACATGCAAACAACCATGTGCGTACAAAAATAATTTTTTTTTTTGATAGAGATAGAGGAAAGACATTAACTAGCATTAAGTGAGATCAGGAAAGACTTCTAGAGGAAGATATGATTTTAGCTAGGACCATGCAAAACGCAGTAAGTGGAAAGATTATTTTCAGCATCCAGTTTTAGAGGAAGTGGATTTCAGATTCAGTAGGAGTGGTTCGAGATAGTGAAGAAATCTCATTTGAGAGGGAAAAATTCATGAAAGAATTTTCAGTACACTGATTTTTCATTGAGTCTTGCCTCCTTAGCAGTCGTGGGTATCCATTCTTTCACAGGAGAATTCAGACTTGAATTCAAAGTTGTATTTGACTGTAGCTCTCACAACCTGAAAAATGTGTTAATTCATCAGTGTGGACTTCCATTCTTCTTTTCTTACTGTGATTCTTCTCCACGTTTTCCTCTCTAGAGTGTATCCAATGTCCAGAACATCGTGTGTGTGTGTGTGTGTGTGTGTGTGTGTCTGTGTTACCATTGGTTAATTGAAGTTGGTCCTTGCCTCTCATTCTCACTACTATTACATTCATCTAATCTAGTCATTCTTTTGTGTATGTGCATTTGTTGGATGGTAGTAAAGTAACAAAGGATGTGCCAGATGAGGTGGATTCTTCATTAGGGTCTCTTCCTCGGAGATTTACTGGTTTATTTTTTTCCAAGGTACCTTTAACAATTGTTTCAAGACTTAGGTTTTTTAGGAGAGATTCCCATATGGAGAGGATGCTTTAATTTTCATTAATTTGAAAACCTAAAAGCTTTGTGGATATAGTTTTGTTGATACTGACCATGTTGAATATGAATCTGAGGTAGATGAAGTTGTAGGTGAGCCTTGTATATAGTCCTTAAGAAACCACAGTCATAACTTTCTCAGACAGTAGAATACAGTTGGTTTCTGGAAACAGATATATGGTCAATTGAATCAGAGTGAATATACATTTAAGCACTTATCTGCCAGGCTCTGTGCTGAGAACTAGGGACACAAAGGCTTAAGATGGTTTCAGCCCTCTAGGAGCTCGAAATTGAGTAGGGGAACACTACACATACAGAAGCTGGAGTATGGAGGAGGCAATACTAAAAACTCAGCCTGGTGGGAAATGATGTGATGAGGTGTGAATTTCAGCATTGACTTCATCCTACAGAATGATGAGTTTCTAGAGATTATGAGGTCAAGAAGAGCAGGCAGGTGGGAAATGATGAGGTGAATTCCTTGGGCTCTCTTTTTAAATTGTGGAGGGTCTCTTTAATGTCAACTGTCCACCCCTCCCAGTTGAACTGAGACAGCAACCTTGTTTGTCCACCACATGTACTGTTCTCCTTTTTGGTTACAGCTGCCATTGGATTTAAGATTTTGAGATGGATTATACTATAAGACACTGAAACTTCACTTGATAACTAACTTACCTAGCTGTGCCAGTTCGTTGCTTGCTAATCTGATGTCAGGGAAGAATTTGGAGGCTTGGCACCATACCTATTTTGAACATGTGAAAACCAAGTCCATGAACTTTATAAACCATTCTTGGTTCCTTCCTGAAACTCTTGGTTTTAGTTTTTACATTGTAACTACAGATTTGTAACGAAAACTGTTCACATTAACTTCTTGTGGATGATGGGCCTAGAACAAGAGTTTTTACCTTTTTTCCCCCATGGATTCCTTTAGCAGTCTGGTGAAGCTTTTGGACTTCCTCAAAGTAATGTTCTTAAATAATTGAGGGAAATGATAAATTTTGGTTAGAGGTTAGTAAAAATAAAGAAGTAATATTTTTCCCATCCAAGTTCATGGAGCCCAAATTAAGAATCCCTGGCCTACCTATTGTTTTCCAACCAAATGGGATCTGGAGCTTTCCTTCAGTTGCCTTAACCTACTTTGTTCCTCCTCACTCTAGGGTGGCAGCATAGCCTCCTGATTCTAGAAATAGGTTTGCCCTATTCATGGTGTCAATTAGTAGAAAATTTGTTACAGTGAGTTAACAATTACACTAGCTAGTTTGGAAAGGATTTGAGGAAAGGAGCTGCTTAGCAACTTTAAAACCATTGTTTGACCAACTTCATTGCTTGTCTCTTGGTGATGCCCATCTGCCCTCATTTGCTATCTCCAGATCTACGTTGTTCCCAAGTTCCCAGTGCTGTTTTTAAATGATTTTTAGCTTTGAAGACTTGGGAGTGAGTCTAGATTAAACCTTTATTTTGCAACTTGAACTTGTACAGAGAGTTCCAGGGATTTTGTCTTATCTGATTTCAAATATCAATCAGGTACCTGCTGTAACCTCTAACTCATATCCTTCTCTGTTGTCTCCACTTGTATCTTCTTTATAAACTCTGAAGACTTCTATCTATGGTCCTCTTTTCTCTCAGCAGTATCTCTTTTGGCAATCTCATTTACTCCCTCTTACTTTCAACTACTGTCTTTACGTAGCTGACTTCCAGATTTGTTTCTACGAACCTTAACTGTCTTGTGGTGGCATCGCAAGCTCAACTTGTCCAAAACTAAGTTTGTTTTCTTGTTCCTTAAAAATCCTTAGCTTCGCTTTATTAGTCAGTGGCACAAGCATACTCCCATGAAAACTTAGCACAATCCTTTACTCTTCTCACTCATATCTTGCCCTGTCATTTTTCTCTCTAATAGCTTTCAGGTTGTTCTACCCCCCCCCCCCCCTTTTCACTTCTACCATCCATCTGTTATTATTCTAATAACCTTCAAACGGCAACAGAATGTTAGACGTACAGTATGGAAGACCTGGGTTCAAAGTCAGCCACAGACACTAGCTGTTAGGCTAGTTATAGGGCAAGTTATTTAACCTGTGTGCCTCAATTTCCTTGTCTGTAAAATGGGGCTGATAATAGCACCTAGCTGTTGTGAGTATAAAATGAGATATTTTAATAACATTTAGCAAACCTTAAAGTGCTATATAAATGCTAGTTATTATTAATAACAATAAAAATTAGATCTTCCCACCTCCCCTTCACCCTAATGCCCCCTCTCTATTCTTATAGATAGATTATATTACTCCCTTCTGAGAAATCTGCAGTGATTCACCAAGCAAAGTTCGTACTCATTTGCCTAGCATTCTGTATCTTCCATAATTTAGTGCCACCTTTCCTTCCTTCCACCCACCAGATTTATAATTTCATCTGTATGGCTACCTGCTGGTGAGGAAACTCCCTCCACTGACTCAGATTGATGACTGTTTACAATTTGTAGTCTTAGAAGAATTGCCTGGGACATTGAGATGTTAAGTAACTTGTTCAAGGCAACAAAGCTGGCATGTGTCACAGGTGGGACTGGAACAAAAATTTTCCTAGACAGCACTCTGTCCACTATATCTTAGCTATACCTACATTACCCAAATGCCCAGCCCTCCCTACTAATCTCTTCAGTGCTCTAGACAAACTGAACTTTTGTCTCTTGAACAATCCTGTTTTCTTCCCTCATGTCTTCGTACTGTTCTTTCACATTGTTTTGTATCACTTAAAGCCCAGTTCAGATGCTACCTGCTCCATGGAATCTTCCCTTAAGCACTAAACCTGATTGTTCCCAATATGTGCATCAAGGCTTCTCCCTTCCCACACACAGCTATTGCTATTGCATGAAGTACAAAATCCACATGCATATAAGCATTGTCATTTTGATCTTTATTTAGCCCGAACAAAATATTTAGTATGATAAAGATATCTTTTCTAGACGTGTATCATTACTTTTAAATTGTTAGACTGTCCTGATAGGTAAAATAGAAATTAATTTAAAATAACTGAATTCAGAATAGCTTTCTGTTGACACATTGATATATTTTCTTAATCAACCGATATTAATGAAGGGCTTTGAAAGTCTTCTACCTTGAAAAAGGGGCCTTGAATTCAAAGGTTGGGAACTACTGCTAGTAACTTCTTTCCTCTTTTACTGTTATTAGGTGCTATGGGTGCAAGGCTTTTCTAGGAGCTTATAGTGGAGGGTGGAGGGAAACGAGAGATAAAACATGAACACAGAGAAGTAAATTTCAGCCAGTCAGACGTTTATTAAGTGCCTGCTTTGTGCCAGTCACTCTG